CGGGGGCTGAGTCTCGCGAGATCCGCCGGGGCGGCGGCAGCGGCGGGGTGAGGGGGAGGCGGCGCCATCTTAGAGAGGAGCGGGCTGGCCCCGGCGGACCGGCCGGCTCGCTCTTCGGCGGCCTTTCGGGCGGCTTCCGAAGCGCGCCGCCCTCCCCTGCCACCGCTCACCGCCGTGCGCCGGCACGGCTCGGCGGTCACCCCCGCTTTCCGGAGGGAAGACACGGGTCCCGGGCAGCGGCCGCCCGTATTGGCGGGTTGAGTTAGGCAGGCGGCGTTAAGGACTGTTCCGGCCGAGTGACGGACGCAGCTTGCTTTCTCTTCCTCCGCCGCCGGTAGCAAAAGTGGGGTTTGGGGCAGAATTTAGGAAAAGCGGCAAGCTTGGTCGCTTTATTAAACATCGGCGACAAGGGGAAAATAAGTACTGTCTACTAAAACGCAACTCTCTGCCACACACGTGTAACAAGTCCTGGAGAGCGTTACTGTTTCTCAAGCTTCTTTTTTATGTATTTTATACCCTAAGACCTTAAACAAGCCTTTACCAATTTAAAGCATGGGTCTCAGTACTGGATTTGTTTTTCTTCAGGACTTCCTTCTCAGTTAAACGGTGCACTAGTAATGGTCCGTGCTCAGGAACAAACACTTAGTTTTAACAACTCACAGACAAGGGAAACTAACACGCCCCCTGTTCTTCATGCAGCTGATCCTCTCAAACAGACCGCCAGACAACACTAGGTGTCCTGGTTTCAGCTGGGATAGAGTTAACTGTCTTCCTAGTAGCTGGTACAGTGCTATGTTTTGGGTTCAGTATGTGAAGAATGTTGATAACACTGATGTTTGCAGTTGTTGCTCAGTAGTGTTTAGTCTAAAGTCAAGGATTTTTCAGCTTCTCATGCCCAGCCAGCGAGAAGGCTGGAGGGGCACAAGAAGTTGGCACAGGACACAGCCAGGGCAGCTGACCCAAACTGGGCAACAGGGTATTCCATACCATGTGACATCACATCCAGTATAGGAACTGGGGGGAGTGGGGGCAGGGGGGATTGCCACTCAGGGGCTAACTGGGCATCGATCAGCGGGGTGGTGAGCGGTTGCGCTGCACATCATTTGTACATTCCAATCCTTTTATTATTGCTGTTGTCATTTTATTAGTGTTATCATTATTAGTTTCTTCTGTTCTATTAAACCCTTCTTATCTCAACCCACGAGTTTTACTTCTTTTCCCGATTTTCTCCACCATCCCACTGGGGGGAGGGGGGAGAAGTGAGTGAGTGGCTGCATGGTGCTTACTTGCTGGCTGGGGTTAAACCACGACACTAGGATTGTTTTATATAGCCATAGTTTGAGGATGAACGTGGCACCTACAAATTTTTTTGAAACATGATCTCACCTTGTCTGGTACTCTCCTCTGACTCAAGTTACAAAAACTAGAACGACATGTTGATGGGTAATGCAATGTTTGAAAGCTTTCTACATACATGTTTAAAGTACAGATGGCATGAAAATGGCTTTGGTGTGGGAGATGGCTTTTACACTGCTGCACTCCATGGCTTTTTCTTGCCTTTGCAGCAACTCTTCTCTGCAGCACTTCCTTCAGGCAAGGATGATGTTTTATCCATCATTTTCTTAAGAGGAATATATATTTACTAGCAGCTGTTGTTTACAAAATGGCCAGAATCCACCTGTACAAGTGAAGTTACTCCTTCCACTCTGAAGAACTACATCTAGAAGTCATTCTGGAACTTACAGTATATTATAGAGTAAAACTAACGGAAATTAACATTTGCGATTACATTTCCATTGAATCAAAAGCACTTGATATTGTACAGACATTTCACGTACACTTAACAAGCTTTTGTATATTCACCAGTGTGAGGGAGGTAAGAAAAAAAGGAAACGACTTCACCTTTTTAGTGAATGACCCTCGATTTTGCTCTATGAGGCTGATAGCAAACCAGAACCACTGTCAGGTTAGGAACTGCGCGAGCCTCAAAGCCAATCTAACTAAAGAAACCACACTGCCAATGAAGAAAAATACAGTTTGTTTGGGGTTCTTTTAAAGGTAAGAAGCTTTAGATAATTTTCATTAGCTGTCAGACTTGCAAATATATCCAAGTATTTTATATTTTCTTCTTCGGGCTAAGGGAAACCTTACAGAATTTCAACAGGAGTTATGTTGATGACAAAGATGAACGTGGTACCTGTGGGCAACATTCACAGCTGTGCAGAAGACCATGGCAAGCTAACCATTCCTGTCCTGCTGAAGAGCCTCCACTGAAGTGGAAACACCACCTAAACAGACGGCAATTAATGCAAAAGAAAAGCAGACTTTCATGAAATGTAGGTGATCAGTTCATCAGAAATTTAGGCAAAGGCTGTCTGCTACAAGCTGCTTGTATTCTACTCTGATCATCTAACCAAGGTAGCACAAAACCCACCTGAAAATACCACAGTTCAGGAGCAGTATCTATGATACAATGACAAAATGTAATTTGCTGCTAACCCATGCAAAGAAAAAAAAAACGTTTTAGGAGATGCTTCTGTTAAGATAAAATTAACAGAACAGGGATACAGAATGCCTTGTCTCAGCCCTAGTGAAAAACATTGAAGAAAAACCAAACTACATGTCATGAAATAGCAAACCTACTAAAAGACAGGTTTGTAATAACCATTTTATATTTTAATTACAAACTCATTAAAAAAAATCACAGGAAAGTTACTGGGTTTGTACCTACTCAACATCAGAAACTGCAGAGGTTTGCAATGAATATAAACAAACAGGTGTATTTACAGAGTTTATTAGAAACCATACATACATACATCAGGAAAGGATGTACTGTACCTACTCATTGCAGCTTGCATGTCAAAGAACTGAGATCTCCTCAGGTTTAGCAGTCTTAGTGCAGAATGGATTACAAGTAGTTTACTGACCAGAGTTCAAACCAAGTGGAAGTTTTGTATTGTGAACCAAGTACCTTATTATCAAGTTACTTTGTTATTTCTTTCTTTTAAAATTAATTAGAAGGAAAACGAAAAAAAACCACAACCCAACTCCGCCACATGAAAGCAGCCCCCATGTGTACAACCTCTCCCACGTACCCGAGTTCATTCATCCCCGCAATATTCAGGCATCAGTGTAGCTCTCACAAACATCCCGTGAAGTCAGTGGTTCTGCTGAGACAGTCAGCTGCACATAATCAGCTATTCATTTTTGCACCAAGCATAACTCAATTCATACTAAAGAAAAAAAAAGCACCTGTTATTCTCAGGAATATACAAATATTTACCACAGTTTTCCTTGCTCATTACAAAATCAGTTACAAAAGCTTACAGCACGTTATGTACAAATTCTACCCAAATACATAAAGGAGCCATCATCTGGCACACTGCCCAACAGCATCAGTCATCACTTAAAGCTGCGGTCAGCTTGCTCCGCTGTCCTCCCGCATCAAACTCTGAAAAGCTGCAGGTGTCTCACGCGCAGTGTCATAAATAGTCTTTGGGTTGGTATTTCAGCAGAAAGGAGTTAGTTCTTCTTGTGAAGGAACTTCATTTTGTTTCCTAAAGAAAGCACACCATCAGTCTAGCACATACTGAAAAGCCAAAGGGCAATCAAAAGTTACTTCGCAAATGGGTCTAATTTGTAATGTAATTGCTGCAGACTAACTCTTCTACTTCATACCAGCAGGGACAGCCGACTAACAGAATCCTGGCTGGTCAGGTGCCTTCCTTTTCTCCTCCTCCATTACAGTTTGGTTCCCCCACCCCCGAGTGAAAATTAAAGTGTTAACAAGAGTCATAATTAAATCTGGTTTTGTCAGCTTTAAGTACGCTTTCATTGTTTTCATATTTCCTATCACATTGAAACTGCTTGACTATCAGATTTCCCCTCAGGTAAGGCTTTTTAAAATTTAAAAAAAAAAAACAAAAAAAGAGAGAGAGAGATGGAAATTAATTTCAGAAGTACTTCTAAAGATTTTCCTCACCAAGGCCTCGCAGAAACTTGTTTACTCCGCTCTGTTCCGTGTCTGGAAGCTCTTCCAAATACTGTTCAACCCTCTGCTCGAAGAGACCTGTGGAAGCGGGGAGAAAAGGGAGCTGGGGTGAGCTGTGTCAGGCTGGATCCGTTTCCCCCGGGGCCCGTTGCGCACCCCCAACTTTTTACTTCTACACTCCTTTCCCTCTCCAACACTGGAAAACGTTACTGCCGGTGAGGGGCTACTCCGTCTCACCCGGCATCGGGACAGGCACGGCGAGCGGGGCAGGGGGGTCGGGGGCGGAAAGCGGAGGTGGCGAGGGCGGCCCGCGCCCCCCG